TACCGCAGTTTGCAGTAACAGGTCCTATTTCAAGGGATTACAAATAGATTTAATCTTTATCGGGCGTCTTCTGTTTTCCGATCTATCAGCCAGAATGCAAATGCTCGCTTCTCTCGGATCGCAAGAGGAAACACATGAAAAGAGCGAGCAAATCTCGTTTTGTGTAACGTTACACCTCGATCATTCGGTGTATCGTTTCACATACTTAGAAGTTTCTTTGATTTTCCATTATAAAACTTGTCACGAAACGATTAAGTTATCCCGTCGATTAAGAGAGTCAAATAATATAATAAGGACGATACATTTTTATTCGAGCGGTAATTTGTTTTTTTTTCATCAAAAAGTTTATTAATTCGTTTATCGAAGAGTTCAAGGGTAGAACAGTTAACGCGTTAGTTCACCTGATTTGGAGGCTTAATGAGCCCGTTGACACTGATGCAGGGTGTCCCGCGTGTCGCCAGGGAATTGCCAGTTCAATAATTCAGAGGCTGGCCGTAATGGAACTTGTCCGCAGGACTCGATCTATCATAGAAAATTGCACGGAGCCCTTTTACCGGCGCTCATAAGAAACATACATATTAGAAGAATAACAGCGGACTAGCTTGTAACCTCGTGTGTCTGTCGTTCCGTTTCGAGAATTGATTAGAGCTCGGAAATAAATCATGCGTGCGTGTGGGTGCATTCGTCGGCATATATATCTATGCTCGCGCGAAAGAGAACCGTGACATTTCCTAAAAAAAGAAAAAAAAAAAACTTGACTCGATAAAAAGGAAAATATGATCGGATTATGTGGAACGAGAGCGGTCGGACACACGAGAGGAATGCCAAAGTTGATCGAATTCCCTCCAACAGAGGTGCTCGCCAAGTGACCGTTGTTAATTAGCTATCGATTCATTTAACAGATTGACGGACGCGACAGGATTATTTCGGGCTTAACGAGTCGATTAATACATTAATGACGATTAGAGGGACTTCGAGTTTAGTTGATGGTCGTTGGAGAGGTGGATGACACGCTGTGTGATTAATTGGTGCACTCGCTTCGAAAGTAGAACCGGTTCGAAATAATCGTCGATTCCGTTTGTGCGAGTTTTTCCGGAAGCTCTAAGCTTGTTCCATCTGTTCGAAACGAGAGAGAATTCGAAGCTCCGACAGCGAACCGGCGGCCTCTCGTCGTCCGTCGGCAGCGAGAAACGCTCGACGTCAAAAGCAAAGCTCAGAGGCAATCATGAGCTTTCGAATGCAAAACAGCAGCTTTCGCCTAGCAGCACTCGGCACTTTTACATTTAAATGTAAACTCGCTGAGTGCGCGCCGCAGAGCCACCCTCGCCATATCCTCCCCCATCTAGCAACGGACCCCTTCTCGACCCCCTTCACCATCTCCCGTTCTCTCCCCTGCACATCGTGCACCCCTATCCGCGTAACGTTTCCATCCGCCTCCTCCGCCATCTCCTCCTCCTTCTCCTCTCTTTCGAGGACGTAGGCGATATGGTGGAGGCGCCTGGATTTAATATTTTACACCTCAAATGTTGGGCGCGCGCGCGAGCCAGAAATGCAAAACAGCTCATAGAGTATCCCTCGAGCTGTTGGCCCCTTCCGTCGCCGTCCATAACGATTCCCTCCCCTTTTGGTTTAGATTGGATTTAAAACGCGCTAATTTGTCGAGCGCGACGCGACCCACGCTTTGTACAAACCCGCTCGCGTGTCTTCGACCGTCCGTGTGACCATACTCCTCCTGTAGTCGAAAATGCGTACAGTCGCGCGCCTCTTTGCCACACAGGGGTGTGTAGAGGTGTGTGGGCACGGTGGGCCACATCTAAATTTAAAATCTGCTTTGCATAATGCCCGACCTCGTCGTTGCTCGTCGACCCCGGGATCGCCTAATTGCGGCCTCGTTCGAGCCCCGTGTCCCTTCGACACCTACAGCAGCCATTCTCGAAAAACCGGCTCCTTCCGCCCACCATTCCTCGCTCGCTTCCGCCACTTTGAATCGACCGACCAGATAACCGGACACTGTTCCCCTCGTTCTGTCCCCGATCATCGATCTACCCTTTCTTACGAAAATCGATCTTCGCTTTCCGAATGATACGACGTCCTGTCGTTCTCTACATGGAAAAAGAAACTTATACTCCTTCAAGATTGAATAAACGTGAAAGGCTCGATTTCGTCATTATCATATCGTACAGATCAAATATTTCAAAGCAGTATCCAAAGCAATATCGATTTATAGATCGATAAGTACAGCTAACGAAAGCACGTAGTAGCGAAGTCATATCTTTCGATCAATTGCCGATAATTATCAATTATCAATTACGTGGCACGGTAATAAGGTATCGTTCGATTGCTTCACGTACTCGGGCATACGTGCGGGTACGTGGAAACGGCGTTGGGAACGCCGGAAGTCGATCGAAGAACTCGTTTCCACCCGTTCTCTCTTCCAAGGATAATGACTGGAGTAATCTAGCTTAACATGACGATACAGTATGAAATGAAATATTGCGTATCAGACCGCTTTATACCTGGAAGAAAATCGCGTTTCTTTGTTAAGTGCTCTCTGCATGGCAAGAAGTTAGTTTTCAACTACGTTGTTGCAAATGAAATTTGTAAATGACAACGAACGAAACGGGGATCGACGAGCATTCCGTGCACGTGCGTACAGATTTCCATCCCTCGCCCACTAATACAGTCATCGCATTGGCGTCCAGGAAATTTTGTCACGGTGGTCACGGGGTAGATCGTTCTGTATCGTGTTTAATGTAGTATTAAACGCAGCTATTGTGCCTCGTCGTCCATCGTGTTCACAAATTTATTTCCTCGCTTCCCGTTATCCATTCGTCTCTCCTTGAGAAATGAAAAAAAGCACAAGCACGTGCCGCCCCCCGTTTCAGGCCGAAGAAATTCGAAAGTAATGTGATTTCTCCCGTCTGTGTCCGTCTTACGACCAGAGACGATCATTGGTCCGAGGGAAGAAGAGAAAAAAAGAAAATCGTACCAAGAGACAGGGGATAGGTATCTTCTTAGTCATATGCTAAGACAATTTGCCAATATTCGTGTACGACTCTTGGCAAACGAACTTCTCGGTCGCGATACGCGTGACTTCTTGTTTCTCCTAATTTTTTCCCTCTTCATCTTATCCACACTGGCTGAAATTTACAAGTTTGGCACATAACCAAGGAACCAAAAGAGTTATCTAAACGTTAGATTCTAGCATGTTGGACGAAATCTTTGACGGAAACGAATATGAAGATCGCAAAGAAAGATCGAGGAGCAAACGGATGAAGCGTATTCGGAAGAGTACACCTCTTACTGTCGTTACTGGCAGTTTCCTGCGATAACCCCAGTATTATATTCGTAGCCCCTAAATAACAGGGGAAGAGAATTCACAATGGGCCACAATGACTGAGCCAACATTACGAATTAGGCTCGGTTACGCGTTTATTGCTGATTCCGGTCCAGGACAGCGGCGTCGCAGCATGTTTTCCAAACGGTGCGAGCAAACGGACGAGCTACGAGGTACATGCTCGAAAAAGGACGCCACTGCAGAGATGCGAAGTATTAGCATTGGTTAGCTTTATGGGGCGTTCAGTTCCGCCGTTCTGTCATCCTCTCTTTCGCTCCCGTGTTGCTCGTCTTTTCGTTGCTCTCTTTCCAACTCTCGTTTGGGAGAGAACGAACGCGGCAGATCAATAAAATCTGTCTGTCTGGAAAAGTAATGCCAAATCGACTGTCCGTTTTTGGCGGCGAACAAATAAATGTCACAAAAGGAGTGGAGCCGCTGCGCGCACCGACCATTTCGTCGAGCCAGACGCTTTAAGGTTCGATTCTCTCCTAGATCGTGACGGCCGAACCTATTTGCCAAAACATTCGAAGGAATCGATTTTAGAACACAGTAATTCGGCGTTCGAAACGACAGGGAAAAATTTATATATATCGTAAATGGTCTTCATATCGATCAGGACACGTGTTCTCGTGGGAGATCGAAGAACCTGACGTCGGTGGAAAAATTTGTTTTTTCACGGTTAGGTGACCAGCAAGAGCGGAAACCGCGACAAGGGGACCGAAACTGGGACGCAATAATTATTAATCAATTTCGTATTAATTGTTTTCTGGGCGTCGAGCTTAAGTGGGATGTTGTGTTCTGGCTTCTGGTAAGCTCTGCCCCGTAACCAGCTAAAGTGTCATACAAGAAGATTAATTACGTCGCACCACCCTTTATATACGCCATGCGTGCGACTACCCTTCTCCTTAATCCTTGGATACTCGTAAAAGTATTCCAAGTTTCACGAAGATATTGGAGGAGTATATAGCAAACAGCACGTCATTGCGTGAAAAGATATTTTCTTCGATGAAAATGATATTCGATGAAAGTTCACAAGTTATTTCGCAAATATTTATAGTCCTTCGTGAAATTGTAACATTTATTATTCTTATTTATCAGATTATAAACATCTATTTATTCAAGACATTCGATGATATATTAATTGTATTGATTATAAAAGTTAAGTTTACAATATTTTAAAGAAGCAACAACTGCAGAGTGAATTAAACTCAGATCAAGATTTTGTTACTTCTCCAAATAAGCACAGTTCTTTCGTAATATCTATTTTTCGTCGAAGTCCTTTCCGTGATTGTATCCCGGTTAGTAAAAAAAGGGGTAAGTACGCGAAAATAAAATAGACCCGAGGGAATAAGGTTTCGCTGGTACTCCGTTCTCGATCCACGAAAGAGCCAAGTTAGTTTTATTTTACAATCCATCGGCTTCCACGACACGGAGGGGTGAGTTTCGCAGTCTACTGGTAGCTACTCCAGTCGAAAGACGAGAGAAAGAGAGAGAGAGAGAGAGAGACGTCGAGCGGTAGTTGGAATCCTTCTGGATGGTTGGACGAGTGTCGAGAAGGGTGTACAAGTTGCGAGGGGGCGGACTGGCTGTCAACTAGTGTTTTAAAAGTTTGCGACAGCCTACAAATTGGTTCGCTCAGTTCTTTTTAAAAGCACCACCAACCAACCACGTCGCGTACCCCAATGTGTCTGTCCTTCATGTTCGCAACCGTATCGTTCAACGGAGAGCTTACAAAAGTTTCCTCTAGCGTCAATTTATACGTTGAGGATATATTTCGTTATCGATAATCATTTGGATTGACGACGTCTTTGAGCTTGATTCATCTCTCTCTTCGCATGCATATAAGAAATACGAAATTGAGAGAAATTCGCACGATGGTAGGATGGTAGCTCGGATATTGCAGAAGTTACGCCCGCTGGTGCGTTACTTTTCGGGGAACGCAAATGATCGTCTAGAAACGTGGTGAAACGTCCGAAATAAATCGCGAGAAGGGAAGCTTTTTCTATCGGCCATTGTGCTCTCGATCATTATTCTCGAGAGTTTCGCGAAAAGTTCCGACCATTTTCGGACAAATCGACCTCCATCTAGGAGACGCCGGTCCCCATATAGGGAATATGCTTGCGCGCGATTCAAATCCCGAAAGTTTAAAAGTATTTCGACGTAAAACGTGGCCATTTCTCATATTTTCTATGCAACCGCGCTCCGCCGTGGGCGCATTTGATACACTCTATTAGTCGCATCCCCGGACTGATTTATCGAGTTACCCGCATTATTATACATTTTCCCCATTACGGGACCGAGATTCATCGTATTCTGGTAGTTTGCCTGCTCTCTGCACATTCCATTAGTTGCAAGTGATCAATGGTTATTATGCGGACTTAAGATTCGAATCTTTTCCAGAAATAGAGATCCTTTTAATAAAAAACAACAAACAAATTATATTTATATGTATCTCTCCGTAAAATGATGTGTATCACAAAAAATGGCAACTCCAAACTTTAAAATTAGGGGTCAAAATTATAAATAAATATACGTATATTCGACGCACGTGACTTGTAACGAATAAGTAATTTATATTAATAATTAATAACTATATGTTTTCTGATACCTGGATATCTATCTTCTTGTCGCAAAAAACAACCGATGATAGATATTACATGTAGGTAGTAATGTGCAGACAAAATCCAGAGGGTCTCGAAATTGCATGCATTAGCTATTTGAATAAAATTGAAGATGTCTTGGCGAATCGAACATCGAGAAATTCTGCGACAGAAACGATGGCGATTTTGGCTCGTCATTATTGTTCGATCGCGTCGTCGATGTGGCTATCGTTGTTGGTAACTCCGTGCGATTCTGCTGCTTCTCGATCCATTCTTTCCGAGCAGTATATATGACCATCCATGTGTATACAGAAAACACTAAATCGACAAAATGTAAATTTTGTCTATTATCCGATTTTTCAATTCGTTCGAGAAGAAAAGAAGCTATTACGGCTTAAGCGACAAACACATGTTGAACAAGATACACCATTCGTGAGCTAAGTAATTTTAATATACTTACATAGATAGATACTGGACAGTGGAATGTACCATATTGATTTATCGTAAACATCGTATTGTGGTTCGTGCGTCAGATGAATAGACAGCGCCACAGACTGATCTATTATGCTAATTATTTGCAAATACATCCAAGGCACGGCGCACTTAGGTTTCCTCTGCGAACGTACGCCGAAGTTAGCAAGATCGTTAGCGAGTTTAAGCAAGGTTGCTACGTGCCGAAAATACGCTTTTTAAATAAAGAAGTCTACGGTTGATTCGCTTTCAATACACGACTACAGCGTCCGTTCTCTTTGATCACTTTGGCATTGTGTTTCGAATCTATCGGGGAAATAACTAGCTAGAAATATAATACTTACGGAAATTGATCCAAAAGCGAGATACGCACTGGCCAATAAAAATGACACTGTGTACACAAGGAAGAACACCACGGTTGTTTGTGCTAAATGTTTCGATTTTACATTAATGTGGCAATATTTTTGGGATATTATCTATGCGTTTACTCATGATGAACCTACCTTTATTTCTCACTTGAAAGTTTTTTAAAATTTGCAACCAATTTAAGCCAACTACGCCCCAATTTCTAATAGAATTGAAAAATTCTTCGTCCGTTTCCCTTGAGAAATAGTTGCTCATTAACAAGTTTATCGTAAGTATCGACAGCGACTAGAAAAATATAGGAGAAATAAACAGCGTACGTAATAACCTTAACATTCGTCGTTGAAAAGAACAAGTTCGGAAAATAATACAATAATATTTTCCATTACCATGCAATGTGCTCAAAACCGGTTTAACTAACAGATTGTCCGTCACTTACCATAGTATAGGTACTGATGATCCTTGTGGCTAACGCTAGTCCGATACAGCACAACATATTCTCGTCGAAATGTTAACGTCTTGATACAATGAACCACGAATACTAAATGCTCGAACCGAGCCGAAATGACCACGGTTTTCGTTCCTACGTCAAACGACACTAGACTGATCGTTCGTAAAAAAATGTAAACACACTTATCTACAAGCAAATACGCACTTAAAATTTGAAACTACGGAATTCTTGTTACTCGATTGATTAATAACTACTTACGTACTTGCTTCTTCATAAATCTACAGTTGAATCGTCGCACAGTGTATCGATAATACTTCTAATCGATAATAATTACAGTCGCAATATAGACGAGGTGTTACAACGCTGCATTTTATAATCTGTGTGTGATATAGCGATAAGTGTAAAAAAATTCTTATTATCTTACACTGTAGAACATGTATATCTATGAAACTTATATGTGTTAATATAATAATATAAGTTTCTTAATAAATAACTTTTATTGGATTTTAAATGCAAAAGTTGTAAATCGAACGAAGCCTTCGACAGTAGCCTCGATGCCAGTCGCGCGCCACAATCTGCGCATGTCCAGTATCTGAATAGCTGAAGGTGAATGTGTGTCTGACATGTGCTTGTAGGTTATGTTCACGTTTCTCAATATTGTGTTTGTTTCTCGTTAATTTCAAACGTGTGCAGTGCCGTCTTTTGAAGTGAACATTAGAAAAATAAAAAAAATGACTGTAAAAGATATGGATATTTCCTTGAATATTTCTGCGGAACCTGTTGCCAGAGAGGTAAGTGAGAGGTTACAAAATGTGGTTGAACTATTCTCATGGAATTGTACTTTTTAATTAGAAAATAGGAACAGAAGATGATACTATTCTTAATTTAATGAGACAAAAGAAAAATAATGTAGCTGAAAGTAAAGTTGCAAGTAATAATGAATTAAAACAAGACTCTGTTAAGGAAAGTAATACCACTAAAAAAAGAATTAAACAAAAATCGTTAGGAGCAATTGTTGTACAGAGATTAAAAAGAACTAATCAAAATCAATCTTCTATTGTACAAAATAAATTAAAGTCTAAACCACAAATAAATCTCAAACATACATCACAGCAGAAAATATCTAAAGAACCTATAAAAGCGCAAAAGAGTGATATAGAAACAAATAACTCTTTATCCAACAAAAGTAATGAAGTTTCTGATGTTCCAAATATTTCATTTACTAAAGTTACAAGAGAGAATTTTGGCAAAACTTTATTAGCAAGAAAAAGAAAAATTACTGATACAGATTCTAAAAGAACACTGTCTAGTGTATTCTCAAAACAATCAGAATCTGAAACTAAACAGGTTAGTTTGTTAGATTCGTTAAAACAGAAAGAAATAGAAAAAGATGATGTGCCAGAAAAGAAAACTAGAAAGGAATTCAAGAAAGAGTCTGGAGAATCTTCTAGTTTACCTGAAAGGATAGGTTTTAATAAAAAGAAAAAACAATTAGAGAAATCAAAAACTGATAGTAATAATACAGAAGATAATGAAAATACACATATTTCTCATAAGTCTGTTGGGAAAATATCTTCCTTATTTGGACATAATCCAGAAATACCAAACATTGGACAAAGATTAATAAAACCGATAAATGAGCCAATCTTTACAGGCACAACCTTTGATGATCTTAAAATACATCCCTTTACGGTTAGTATCATACATATCTGATGTATCATGACATATCCAATTTAATAATATATTTTTTACTAATTATAAAACATTTTATCAGATATCTAATTTAGAGCAAAATATGCATATAACCAAAATGACTACAGTACAACAAAAAGCAATCCCCCAGATATTTTTAGGAAAAGATGTTTTAATTAGATCACAAACTGGTTCTGGAAAAACACTAGCATATGCTTTGCCTATAGTTGAATGTTTACATAAAATTAGACCAAAATTAAATAGAAATAGTGGTTTAAAAGCCCTTATAGTTGTTCCAACTAGGGAACTAGCATTACAAACTTATGAGTGTTTCTTAAAATTAACAAAAGTAAGTACTACATTAATAATTATTTAATGATCGCGTGAATACACCATTCCATTTATTTTCACACGATTTTAGCCATTTACGCGGATTGTACCAGGGTATTTGGCAGGTGGTGAAAAAAGGAAAGCAGAAAAAGCTAGGCTGAGAAAAGGTTGCAATGTTTTAGTTGGTACACCAGGTAGACTGTTAGATCATACAAAACGGACGGCAGCTTTAAAGTTGAGCGACGTTAAGTATTTCGTTTTAGACGAAGCTGATAGAATGTTTGACATGGGATATGAAAAAGATATATCTGGGTATGTTTTCTCAATTGGAGACATATAAAAAAAATTTACTAAAACAAAAGAAGTTCTTTTATAATATGATATAATATAATTTCAGTATAGTAAGTGCTTTGAAAGTATCACTTCCAAGTCAAAATACTGGTTACGATGCCATGAAAATATTGCGTCAAAATATAACGAAAGCAGATCTTGAACATCTGGAAAGTAATAGTGATTTAGAAAAATCTCAAAACGATAAACATAAAGATTTAATCGTTAAATCAAACAAGAGCACAAATTTAAAATCTGAGGATGGTGATATTGAAGATAATGTTAAACGAAAACAAGTGTATCATTCCAGCAGTGATGATGATTCCGATCAAGGCGAGCCTTATATTAAGTCAAAAAAATTAGATAAACAGAAGGTTTGCTCAGACTTTACAACAAAGAAAGACTCTGATCTGCAAAAAGATGACACGCAATACAGAGAAAATGATAGTAGTAGTGGAGATGAATCGAGAAGGCAGACAATTTTACTTTCGGCGACATTGACACAAGCGGTAGAAAAATTAGCAGGTCTTGCTATGAATCATCCTGTTTTTATCGATGCTGCGAAAGAAAATTTGGAAACAACTGGTGGTGACGTGAACGATCTCAACGAGGATTTAGTAGTCCCACAAAGTGTGAATCAAAGTTATATCGTCACGCCTCCAAAACTCAGAATGGTGACTTTAAGTGCTTATATCGCCGGGAAGTGCCAGGTAAATTTCTCACATCAGACTATTTATTCCTTCTTCATATTTAAACTTTCGTATATTGTGTGAAATTTCATATCAATAGAGCCATGGTCAACACAAAATATTAATATTTATGGCCACTCAAGATATGGTTGATTATCACACGGAGATCTTATCATCTGTATTGACTAAACCCATTGACGAAGATGACGATGATTCTGATCCTTTAGTCGATGTAGAATTCTTTAAATTGCACGGTAGTATGACCCAAAAAGAACGAACGGAGGTCTTCAAAACTTTCAGACAGGCAAAGAGTGGAGTTCTACTCTGTACGGTGAGTAATACTTTGCATATAATGTCTAATACCTAGATATTTTCAATTGTTTCGCGAAAGCTTATACATAACTATAGTAGAAAAGGTTCACATGATGATTTTATGAAAACAACGAAACTGTTTTGCAAGAATAAAAATTGTTATAAAACAGTGGCAAATAAGAAGGAAAGGAGTGAAGGAAGAAGGAAAGAGCAGAAGAAAAGCTAGGGATACGGGTGGCATTCCCCGAGCAGTAAATTACCCCGTGGCTTATTCTTTCAGGACGAAATTTAATATCTCCGGACCCACGCTGTGTCCGGAGGTTAAAAATTATGCGCGCACATGAAGCCTTCGTAACGAGTATAATTATGATTGTTTGCCCGTTATATGCCAGCCAGTTCTAATTGTTTTCTACATTTAAATGGCGAATGCTCGCATTAATAATACTTATCGTGACGGAGAGATTTCATTGGAAAAACCGTCAGTCCTGATAGTCATGATAATTTCTAATTTTAGAATGCAAGCTACGTGCTATTTCGAAGAACGACGCAGCGCAACGATTTATGACCGATAGACAACTTTCTTTCATTTACTAATTGCCAACGAATCAAATTAATCGTGTATCGATATAGTAGATCAATTTTCTGTTATATCGTGGCTCCATGACAATTTCTCAATCATTATAATTAGCGGTGAAAGTTACGGATCTTGACGTCCGATAAATATCATTAAAAATGCAGTAGTAATAATTAAATTCATTATCGTTTACTCTGCAATTCTTTTCCTCGTCGGTTAACATGAATTTAAAACGCCACTTAACTGAAGAAAAAGGAAGAGACCATCAAAGTCCGGCGGAAGGTACAAATTTTAAAATTCATGATCCACGACACGCAACAGTGTTACACATTGCTCATAGCTGGGATTAATTTCTTTTAATCAGGCGATTGCATCGTTGATTCAACACGTGTTTCACGGTAATTTGTTACAGCTTGTCATTATTCTTCCTGCCTTCTTCATTAAAATCTACACAAACCGCTTAATATTGCTATTAAGATTATCGAGCCGATATACGAATCGAAGAATATTTAAAGGAAAACATAAAGATTGTTCAAACGTTTTCACTTTCGTTTTCGTTCAAATTTTGGCTCTTCATCCTCAAAAGGTATACAAACGTTGATCCCAGAGAGCACGAACAACGATGGCAACCGCCTACATTTTACAGCGTCACTTGAACGGAGATTCTATGGCAGCATTATTAATTTCCACGTTGAAAACTCACGAGAGCCCCTGCGGATGGAATGTTCCGCGATTCTCAGCGGTGGTGAATCCGGATCCACGAGGTGATCTATGGTCCGAGTGAGATGTTTTGAACGGACGATCCGTTCTCGATCCTCCGAGCCACGATCGCGGCCTCTCTCCTAAACGATCGTTTGTCTTAATCGCTGCCATCGATCGCTCCTCGTCCCTGTTTTCGTTACATTATATCGCATCGGTGGCAGCCGCGGTGCTTGTTTCGTCGAAAGATACGTGGGCGTCTTCGGCCACATTTCACTTTATCAGACTATATCTCTTGGCCGAGTTCTAATCGAACTTGTTTATAACTGCCGATCAATTGTCGCGTCTCTCGAAATATTCCTTCTCAAGGAAATGGTCATTTCACATATCATATTTATGTAGCACGTTTATCGAGGGAAAGCAGCACTGTAATTAGCATGGACGAAACAAAGTCACGACGATGAAACATCGTTCGCCGGGACGGTATTTTATTTCCATAGGGCAAACTTCTTTCTTGTTTTCCTTCAGCCCGGCGCCTGGGCCGTTGCGTCGTAGGATCGCGTCGAATTAATTCGATAAAAAGGTATAAAAAGGAGGAAGACAGACACATCCGTATCGTGCCGCGAAAGAATTTTCGGGGCCGCGACGCCCCCCCACTGGTGGTCCGGGATTAGTCTCCAGGGTCGTCAAGCAGAAACTCGATGTGCTCCGTTCGGTGAATCATTGGTTAACCGAACGCAAGGAAATCAGGGCCGTGCTCAAACGTTCACCGTTGGGGTTCCACAGCGGGCGCTCGCTGCCAGCCGCGCGCATTCACCTTCGTACAAAACGAGAAGTCGACACGGTTTGTAAGACATTTGTACCTTGCAGATCGCACGCTCTCGGTCTTTGCTCTTACTTCTTGGATCATCAAAGAACAAGATGTTTGAATCGCCACAGCACCGGTGCTTTTCTCTCTCCAACTTTTCCTTCAAGTATATCACTTCCATATCACGCGTACACGTTTGATTCTACTTATTTAGGATGTTGCAGCTCGTGGATTGGACCTGCCAAAAGTGGACTGCGTGATTCAATACACAGGGCCAACGTCTGCCAGGGATTACGTGCATCGAATCGGTAGAACCGCGCGAGCTGGTTCTTCCGGTTCGGCGACTATCTTTTTGACCCCGGCAGAGATCGAATTCGTCCGGATGCTCGAGTCTAGGCGCATCAGAATCAGACAAGAGAGCATGGACGATATTTTGGACAAACTGTTGACTCCCCTGTCGAGACATTCCTCTGCTCATAATGCCGCGATTGCGCTTCAGAATGAATTCGAAACCATGGTTCTCGAGGACACGAAACTCCGAGGAAAAGCGTGCAAAGGTAAATCACGAAAGAGAGAACATGTGATGGATGCATGCGACAAACGTTTAACAAAGCCGAATCGACTTTACGATTTTACGCTTAACGCGATTTTGACCTCTGTCACGACGAGACACAAAGTACTCATGAAATTCAACGAAGGATGAGGGAGCACGCACTTCGTTCGATTCAGTTGGATCGGAACGAAAGCGAGCTGACTTTAGGGTACAGTAAGCCAATTCCAGCGGGCACCCTACTCGCATATAAAGTAACCCTCACACGACCGCGTTATCGAGCCTCCGCTCTGTCTCGGTTTTCGCCTGCCACTTGGATATTTACATACTCTCTCGATGAGGAGCGATGATTTTATTTGCCGTACTACGATTCCCCTATTAGAGTCGTTAAGCCGAAGAATTTATTTGCTGCAATAATAAATCCATTAGAACGCGACGATTCGTGCTTCATTCAGAGGAGGGAGAGGGCGGAAGTGTAATATTTATCCTTATGCTCTCGAATATTACGATCCTGTTATAAAGTACGGTCTGCGGTGCCAGAGAGACACAGTCGAATATAGTCAGTGGGTGTTCGCCGTTCGAGGGTGATTGATTCCAAAACGAAAAATAAAGGCCATAAATCTTTCTAAGAGGTTTTTGAATTTCGCAGTTGTATCACGTCAAGCGTGGCTTTACACGAAGGTTAGCCACGGTTTTTGAGCGCTTAGCCGCCTCCAGATTTGAGTGACGGTACACAGTTAACCACTTGACCGTGCCTCTACGTGCCCCGAGTGATTGATAGATTAATTGTCGTTGATAATTCCACGCTGCACTTTCCACGAGATTGCATTGATAGCAGCAAGAAGCAGAGAACAAACCGTTGAAGCAGGAAATGAACGCCAATTTAAACTGGCTCGTAGTTTTCAACTGAAATCTTGATTCTGCTTTTAGAATATCTTGGGAAAAAACATCATAACGATATCCGAGAGAAAATTATCGAGCATTTCATGGCGATGTCTTTGGTTTCTTTTTAATCCCAGGAATTAATTCGTGATCAATGTAGGGTCATGACAGAGTGCGTAGAAGTGGAAATCTTGCTAATTCGTAACATTATCACCCCAATAGAGCCGAACAGCCCTCAATAGTGAATACAACTCCATAGAACAACCCCCCTGGCCTTCGACTACTACCACCAACCAAAGAGATTCATCCACTTTAGCGTATATGTGTGTGTCGTCTTTTATACCAGTTTGTAACTATAGCCTTTTCAGTGTAACTGTGATAAACGTCTTAAACAGTTCACAATTTTTATCGAATCCTATAAAAATTTGTAGTTTTATCTGTCTAACATTTCTTATGTTGTATTACAAATTTAACATCAATTATATATATGAAATATCTTTTCAACTAAACTTCTCGAAATAAGAAAGTCAATGTTCGTCTTCGATGCATTCTTTTTTTCTTTTCTTTTCTTTTTTTTTTTTTTTTTTTTTTTTTTTTAACGAAATTCATTCTATCGAAAGGAAATGGATAAATACACAAGTTAGTGAGTTAGATCGAATCTAGTGTAGGCCACTTGCACGCCTTTCGCATGGGGGTGGCCGACACAATCCAACCACTGAATGTGGCTTCCGCCAAAACCACTTACGCTTTGTGGCGAGAGACTCTTAACAATGCGATACAGGATACAAATACAATAAGACGCAGTTACATCACTTAGGAACAATGCCACCCCGCGCGACCCACTCCTGCAACACCCTACCCGCGTTTTCTCTGCCTTCTCGGCTAGATACCACCCCCGCGGGTGATTTATGTGCTAAATGGAGAAAAACATTTCTCCCTTTTCAACGTCGACACCGGGCCACGAGAGAAAGATCTTTGCAAGTTTCTTATGTGCGGAAGCGTCGAGTCGGGGTAGAAGGCAGACGGAAATCAAGCCGGAAAATGTCAAGGCATAAGGTCTACGAGGTGAATTATCGGAATTAAAGACACTTGGGTTCTCCAGACAGAGATAGTCCGTTGAAATACGAACGTTTTTTTTTGTTCTTTTTCACGTAATCGTGCTCATCAATTTTCATTGGTAATATCTGTTCGACAAATTAAAAAAAAAGAAAAAAAAAATTGACACACGTTTAAAAAACACGTCGAGAGGAAATCCAAAGTTCTCAGATATTCTTTAACATTAATAATTGTAGCTCTCAACTGGAATGGATTCGAGCGAGGGAGAAAAGGTCGAGCATCTCGATCCGTCAAAAGAGCGGAGACAGAGAAGCACTTCACGGTAGATTTTTCGCACGGAGTGACAGTAACACTGGCACATGTCAAGTTCTCTCAGGATCGGTGAACCCCCGAGTTTCTCACCCGCCCGCGGAAGCTGGAGAAGTTAAGAGGGAATAAGGGGAATGAACTATTAGCCACAGCACTTGACTCGACCCCCCGTTAATGCCTCTTAATAGCTCACCGTGGGCCACACACCCCATAGAATCGCTGCCCTGCCCGCCAATGGAAGCTCGATTAATAAGGGCGCGCTACATGCGGACAGTGATTAACATTCGAGTTACAGCGCACGTGGCCTCATTTACACGTGGGCGGGAACCGCGTATACACTTCTTGAAGCTGCTCGCGACAGTATTTGAGATTCTGTTCGGACCGTTCGTCAAACGTTTATTGCAGCTTATTCTGCTGGCCGATTAGTTACGATCAAACCGGAGTATAACCGGATCTCGATGGGTGGTTTCAGCGTACACCTCGTGGATGCGTTTCTACTCCAGCTACCCCCGCGACATGCGGGAGATTTTCAATCGGAGGACTGCCCATTTAGGTCACTACGCGAAGAGCTTCGCGCTGAGGGAAACTCCGCAGCGGATCGGCGGAATGGGAAAGAAACTGCACGAGAAGGACAACTCGCAGCAACAGCATAACAACAGGCTCACGAATGAAAAGTAAGCATTCAATTTTATTTTGCGATTTCCCTATTGTTACGTGATCGAGCGATCCTTGTTTGATCGCAAAGAGGAACAGACCGTTAGTCGGCGCACAGTTGAGGTAGATAATCACGGAGACGAGCGAGCCCGCAGTATTAATGACGGATTCATGCGTGGCTTAGCGTGTTAACTGCGGTGCACCCTGATCTCTCCCTCTCTTTCCCTCTCGCGGCAACATAACTAACAAACGCAACCACGTGTGTTAACAGATAGTACACGCAAACGTAGCGCGAGGACAGCTCGTGGTTCCTAGAGAGGTTAGATACGTCAAAACTGTCGCTTTGTGTCATTCGTCATGTACGACGAACGGGCGGACATGGTGTACGGTGGCTGGCAACCATAAGCCATACGGCTCTCGTCGTGCTCATCCTCGTTGTTCACCATCTCCCTCGGTTCCCCTTCGTTTCTCTCTGTCTGACGTCGCTTGGCTCTCGTTCTCTCTAAAACGCGTCTCCGTCTATCTCTCCCGGTATGCATTTCACATGGCATTCGGCTGGCTTCTGCCCTTCTCCAGGCTTCTCCCATTCTCTCTCTGACTCTCGATTCACTGTCTCTTACTCTATCTCTCCATTGTTCATAATTATACAATACGGCTATTAAACAGACTGATGCGACCGCTACTTCCGGCCCTGGCTGCGCCATTTACGGAAACCACGGGACGAGCACGAGCCTCCCTTTGCTCTCTGCTTCTCTTGTTCCTCCCCTCCCCCGCCACTCTCTCTCTCTCTCTCTCTTGCTCCCTTTATGAAGAACTCTCACCCGCAACGTCACTCTGATTTTCTGTCCATCGCGCGCTATCTTTTTGTGCCTATCTATTTGTGTTACCCCTGTTGATCCTCTCGCCTCGTCGAGATCTCTGTTTTTTTTTTCCGGCGCGCGCAGCGTTTCCTCGACTGTAACGCGTGCTGGAGTAGCTGGTCTTTATTTCATTTCAGGTTCAGAAAACACCGCGCGTCTAAGTACGTTTCCCTAAAAAATTCTTATACACTTTGTCCCAATTTTTTGATTAACTCTCACATTTACCCTTACATTTGGCTATTTTATCTTGCAATCTTGATTTACGTAGTATCGAGTTATTATTCATGCGCTTCAAAAGGTTTTGTCTATCAAGACGATATTTCGTTGGTGACACGCACCACTTTCTTCGGAGCAGGCATTAAGCACTAACTTGTTTAATGTGATTTGAATGGGCGTGCTTTCGATGCACACAACGGGTAACCGGCGGGTGCCCTCCACCCGTAGAGAGAGAACAAGTTCGTTTTAATGGGTGAAAGGCGGGCACCGAGCTGACGGTCCAATGGATCGAGAGACCTATGGTGTACGCCTCTGTGGGTGCGATTACGCCTGTTCCTGTATGCGTTTCTATATATATATTTTCAGGCTCGTGTGCGGATGTATGTATCACCATATGTGTCCGTGAACGTGTCTAAATAGTGACGTATAAAGCTTGAATATTGCAAGCTTCAAGACTTAATTTTGAGGGTTGAATATTTAAGACCAATGTTATACAGAGAGACTGAAGCTTTAAGACTTAGCTCTGAAAATTCGTAATAGTTGATTCTGTGAAAAATACATTTCTCTGCAGACTCGAAGCTTTTAACAACGCTACGTCCAAATACCATCTTTTCTACAACATATCGCGAAGAGTGAACTTTGAGGACGCGTTGACGTTCACCGATTGCCTCAACGCTTTTAGAGAAGTCGACCGAATGGAACGGATCCGTTGTTTTTAGCGAGAAGTCTCGCAGATTTTTGCCGGTCGAAATCGTCGTATCGGATGCTTCAGTAGAAAAGAATAGTTCTGTTCTTCTTTCTGACTTCGATCGTTCTTTTGGCCGCGCAGCATTAGCCGCCGCCGAAGATTAGGCGAATAAAACGGATCGGCCGAGAAAAACAGTAGTGACGAACGTGAAATTCGGCACGGCAGTTGGCCGAAATTCTCTGGCACGCCATCGAACCGGGGGGGGGGGGGGGGG